TTAATATTAATATTAAAGTTAAATGTAATGAAATACAAATCAAGGCTGTCAGCAGAGGTAAATCCAGATGACCAGAGGTAAAATGGCAGATTTTTGGAAGGAATCAAAAACGTTTGAGTTAAAGTGTGAATACACCTTATCATGCACTGATGCATCATGCAACTAAAAATGAACATTTAAATCTTTATCCTGATTCTTAAAAAGGTTAATGTATATATTTTTCTCCCAGATTTGTGCAGTGAGGGCAGCATACGGTGTCCTGAGGGGACATGTCTATCTGCTGACGAGCAGTGCGATGGCACATTTCACTGTTCTGATGAAAGCGATGAGCCCATAACCTGTGGTACGCTTAAAGCAACTCATTATCACAAAAAACACCAATATACAATGGTTTTTGTCTATTAAGTCGTCTTCTGTGACGCTGATGCTTAAAATTCCGCCTCACGCAGGGCGTGCCTGCGTTATGGACAATGGTGGATGTAGCCATGTGTGCACTGACGAACCCAGGGGAGTTCTGTGTTCTTGTCCTGCTGGATATAAGCTGTCTCCTAATGGAACAGACTGTGAAGGTGTGTGGGACAAGATGATGACAGTTTACCTTCAATACTAGGTTTTATAGCAGAAACCAAAATAATGCTAAATTAAAGAAAGAATAAAGGTTTTGAAGTACGAGGTGTCCGTGTCCTTCTAAAGGAGCAGATGATTCCTTAATCCCTGATCCTGTTTTCATGCAGCTACAGGAGTAATTGATATCTGCGACTTTGTAATTTTCCAGATACATTTTTTTAAATGCATGCTGGCACATGTTTACTCTTAATTTCTTACAGATTTGGATGAATGTGCTCCACCTTTCGACCCCTGTGCTCATCACTGCAGTAACACCATCGGTTCTTACTATTGCTACTGCAGAGAGGGATTCAAACTAAATGAAAACTCAACATGTGTGGCTTCAGGTGAAGTGAAAGTGTTTTTCCTGTTTTATAAAATTGACGCTACATTCTGTCAATATAATGTTCCACCAATTTGTTTGGTACCAACTTGAGTCAAGGACTTTGCTAGGACAAAGCTAATGGGTGTAAGGCCTTTGTTATACTGTCAGAATCCATTCTAGATTTGGTTTCGTCCTCTTAAACGATCAACACCAACATCAAAGTGCACTTATGATGTCTGATTAATGATATGCTAATAGGTGACTTTGATGTCGGTAAGGTGGTGACAAAAGCTATAAACTCTGTTTGATCAAGGACAAAGAGCACTTAGGTAATCAAAGACTTTTCCTGTAGATGCAAATTTATCAAGTGAGGCCTTGATGATTAAATGAATCACATGAATTATTGGATAAGCATCACTAACGGTGTCCTGTATGAATCTGCATTTACAGCTAATCCTGTCCGATTGCTGCTGGTTGGGGGGACAGCTTTAGGATTATTGAATGTGAAATCTCAACAGTTTGAAATTATTCAGAGTTCAACATTTGACTCTGTGGCCTTGGCGTTTGATGTTGCGCGGGGGTGGTACTACTGGGCTGACAGCCGTGGCAACATTTACAAAAGTGATGGACAGCAAAGCTGGACAGCCTATACTGGTTGGTTTACTCTTTAATTCAAGAACGTATCCTCACATTAAATCGTTTCTTGCATATTTTTATTTTTTTCGTAGTTATATTCTACTTGCCAACCATTAATTTATTTGTTTATTGTTCTTAAACAGGAGAGCCTGGTATCAAAGGTTTAGCTTGTGACTGGCTCAGTGGGAATCTGTTCTGGACCAACAAGAAGACGGAGTCCATCTACCTGCAGAGTTCTGATGGAAAAAGTTACACTGCTCTGCTCAGCAAAAACATCAGGCCCTCAGAGCTGGTCGTTATGCCTGTAGAAAGGTCTGTATGGCTTATCTGCTACATGTGACTGAATTTTAAAGTGATCAAATTTGATATTTCATTCGGGCATAATGGTGGATAAAGGTCAACATTTTAGGGTATGTCAAATACAGGAGATGCAGTTACTATTTTACACGTTGATGAAAATCGATGATGCACTGCTTAGTGCTGCTTATTCATATTCGCTGCTTTCTGCCTCCCAGCTTGATGTTCTGGATCAATACGGGTCCAAGTGACAGAGCAACAATAGAAAAGTCTTGGATGGATGCCTCAGAAAGAAGCTCTCTGGCAGTCATCACTGCTCAGTCTGCCCACAGCCTCACTGCTGATGTAGCTGCCAGACGGCTGTACTGGATCAGTGATTTTAAGAGGGTGAGATTTGGATCAAAAGCCCAAATGTTCTCCATCACAGTTCATTACACACGGGGCCTGTTGCATAGAAACCATTTTTATTTGCTGCTTTGTTCCTGATCAGAAGTACTCAGATTTTTTTTCTCATTATTAGAAATAATTAAAATAATTAAAAAAAGAAAAAGTTTACATATCTGGGACTAGTTCGGTCACTCCTGGGCATGTATTGATTTTATTTATTATAAATAAATGCAAATGCCACCCCTGTGGGATACACTTGAAATCAAAAAGCGTTTACTTTACGCTCTTTAAAGTTAATAATAATCTAAAAAAGTTTGTCTGTGTGCCCTACTTTTTTTTTTTTCTCTCACCACATGTCACTGTTCTTTTTACCCCAACAAAGTCTTTTTATCCTGAAGCTCTCAGATACATTTTTCTCTGTATTGCACATGTGAGATGGTAGGAGAATTTGAAAAGCGTTAACTTGGATTTCATGAAGTAGTTCATAGTTTTTACAGGATTCAAAAGCAAGTGCAGCCCATGATTCAGTAGCTTTTAAACCTTGTCAGCAATACATTTGTTTGATTTTTAGTCTCTGGCTCACTCTTCTTTACAGCATTGCTTTAATTCATTAAGGTTGTTGATGCGCAGCTCTCTTAAGGCCCCAGCACAGAATTTCAATCTAGTTGAGGTCTAGACTTTGACTGGACTGTTGCAGCCCTTTCAGCTGCCCTGTTGTAGATTTGCTGCTGTGTTTGGGATCATAGTCCTGTTACTTGTCCCATGCCTTAGCCATCCGACAGGTGGCCTCGCGTTTGACTCTAGAATATTTTGATATCCAAAGGTTTTATAGTTGACTCAACCACTGCAAGTCCCGTGGCTGCAAAACAAACCCAAACCACCTCTCCACCGCTGTGTTTGACAGTTGCTATGTGGTGTTTGTGGTGGTCCTAACCATAATGTTTAGCCATTGTAGCCAAATTTCTCCACTGTGGTCTCATCTATCAATCAATCAATCTTTATTTATAAAGCACTTTTCATACAGAAAAAATGTAGCACAAAGTGCTTTACATAGTTAAAAGCAGCCCACCCCACCCTCCAACTCACTCCCCACACTCTCAATACACATATATCCCCCCACCCCCACCCACACACACACACACACGCGCACACTTAAAGAGTAAAAATTGGGCTGGGCTCGCATGAGCCAAGTGAGGAAACATTATAACAGAGAGCCGTCTGCACCGGGAGCCGGTCACAGACCGCAGCCTCCGGGCTGGGCACACAGCAGGAGGGAGGCCAAGGAGCCCCCCAACCAGGCTGAGAGGACCCCAGAGACCCAGCAGCCACGGTCAATAACAGCCCCGGTGCAGAGAGCGCCCTCCGAGGAAACACTGGAGATATGACGCAATACGATATATACAGGGTAAAATGATAAAATAAATAAGAACAGGATACAATATAAATATAAATAGAGTAAGAAGATTAAAAAATGAATAAGAATAAAATCAAAAAATATTAGGTAAATCCTAAATTAATAATAGAATAACAGGATAGAATAAATAAGCATAAAATAAATAAACGCTAAGTAAAAGCTAAATTAAAAAGGTGGGTCTTGAGCCTGTTCTTAAAAACATGTACGTTCTCTGCGGCCCTGAGCTCCTCCGGCAGGCTGTTCCACAGACGAGGACCATACCACTGAAAAGCTGCTTCTCCGTGAGTATGTGTCCTGACTTTAGGGACAATCAAAAGGCCAGTACCAGAGGACCTCAGGGTCCGCGAGGGTTCGTATGGTAAGAGCAGATCTGAGAGATAAGAAGGCCCAAGACCATTAAGACATTTAAAAACCTGTCTGAAGGACATTGTTCCAGAGGTCTTGTGGTTTGATTTGCATCTTTGCAAATCTGTCATGCTGAAATGACACAATGTTCTTTTTAGAAAGAAATGGCTTTCTGCTTAAAACTTTGCAAGCCATAAGAATATATTTAATTTTCCACAAGTCACTACAGAGTTGTGAGGAACAAATGCTCACGTGATTGTATTTCACTCAGCAGATATTTTACCTCTCCATCACAGATGTGTCATATTCTCACATTTTTCCTTTCTATACATCACAACAATCTCTTCTATGTAACCTGACGAGGGTGAGGGACTCCTCATAGTTTGAGCTCTTTGCTGTTCTTAATAAAATAACGTTGGCTAAAATACTCACACTCGGTCATGATGACTTTTTTTTTTTTTTGTCTCCCCGTTCAGTCCATAGAGACTGTGAAGGTGGATGGGAGTGGCCGTTACTCCTACACAGGACTGTTCAGCAGGAGAGCACCGCAGAGCCTTGCTGTGTTTGAAAGTTCGTTTTATTGGGTTGATAACAAAGGACTCTGGCAGGCTCCACAGACTCAACTGAGCCAGAGAAAATTTATATGGGAACCCACACTGCCAGTATTAGCTGTTTACCATGAGCTACAACAGCCTCAAGGTAAATCTTATGTTATTCTCAAACATGGTCGTTGATCAGTTTTCCTATCTGAAGATCTGTTTTGAAATTTATATGCAATTTAAGCTGTTTTAAATTGGATACAAAACAAGGTTGAAGTTGTTAAATGTATTTAAAAGTTGTTAATAGAGCTTTCTTGGTCTTCATAGTGGATTGTGTTGCACCTAATAGTCCTCTCATTGTCTTCATCAGGTTATTCTGCATGTGTAAAAACACCCTGTCACCTCTGCCAGCTAACTAAAAGCAACCCTCTTGGATTCACCTGCTCTTGTCCAAACCTCAAATTGCTGTTGCTGGATGAGACATGTGAAAGTAGGTTTCCTAAAACTTTCTTTTCACCTTTTGTTAGTGTAAAAAAAAAAAAGACATAACTTTTAATTCTGGTCCAAACTTATTAAATCAGTTGTGGTTAAATAAAAATGCATTTACACTTTACAAGAAAACACAAAAGATGATCTGTAATATTATTCACTGTCACAGATCCACGGTTTCTCTATGCTACAAATACGGAAATCATCTTGTTGGAGTTGGAAGATAAAGGGTTCATTGAAAGCCAGCTTTTCACCACCAATGAGGGGATCCTCTCTTTTGAGATTGACTGGGACAGAGACTGGCTTTACTGGGCAAACCAAACTGGCCACATTCAACGCATCAGTTTAACAGCGGCCACCGCTGAGCTGGTCCCAACACCTTTGCCAGGTTAGCACGGATTTGTTCACATATGTTGCTTATTACTGATGTGCAGTGACAAAAATCATATTAAGAGTGGTGGTTCAACAGTTTAAAAAAAAAAATGTTAAGACTTAATTAGTTTCTACCTTAAATGGCTGTCAACATACCTTCTTTCAACTTATTTCTATTTCTTTTTAGTTTGTCTGATAAATGTGGACCAGAGGAGCGGAAGCCTTTATTGGGTGTCATGTCATCGAAACACCATCGGAACAATCGCAGCTGACAGCTACTACCCAAAGCAGCTTTACTACACGACAAAGGAGATTAAAAACTTGTATCTGGACTGGCTGCGGGGTACCATCATCTGGCTAGAAGAAGATCGAATTCTCAGCATGAGCATGTTGGGAGGTGACGCTAAAGAGCTGCTGCACATAGCTGGAGGAGTGAGTGGGGGCATCGCTTTTGACCTCAGGGCTAATAGCCTGCTGTGGAACTCAAAAATGGCAGGTTAGTTTTATCGTTGGATTGGTGTGTGGAAGCTTGTTATGATCCCTGGGGATAATAAATACATTTTTGGGGGGTTAGTTATATCAAAATTTCAGCTTATGAACTCAAACTTTGGAGAAAATAACTTAAAATTTCCAAACCACACTCATTCAGATTTGTTTTGCAAACCACATAAAAATGATAAACTTGTCACCTCACAGACTTTAATGTTGCCTTTAATTAAGTTTTTTTTTTTTTTTTACGACAGGCTTAACAACATTAAGTTTGCTGCGAGAGAGAAGCCACCAAGCTGGAAGAAGATGGAAGATTTCGGGCTCAGTTGTAGCTGCCCTCGAGCCTTTTCTCTTGTCAGTTTCAGACAACGTAATGACTCTGTGGGATCAGCGTGATGGGAGCCCTATTCAAGATGCAGCTGTGACGGGTCATGTGATCAGAGTAATCACTGCTCTCATAGATATTCAGACAGTTCAGAGTAAGATCATCTGTCACAGCAGAAACAGATTTATATAGCACTTTGACATTTTTCTGGTATGCATGATCATCTCATTAATTCCATTGCATTGTCTTTACATTCTCAAGCCTGCAGGAAACCATCGTTTTTGTGCAGACACTCATCAGTCTGCCTCTCAGAAGCTCAGCTGTGTGACGGGAAAAAGGACTGCCCGGAAGGAGATGACGAGTTTTGTCCTGGGGCTTGTCTGTCTATAGGTAAATGCCCAAGCTGACATTCTTGTTATAACTGGCGATGCAGCTCAAAAACATATTGAGACTTACTGATAGGTTTTTCTATCTCAGAGGAGTTCGAATGCCAGGACCGGAGCAGTTGCCTTTCCAGACGTCTTGTGTGTGATGGTCGGTCTGATTGTACCGATGGCTCGGATGAGGCTGATTGTCCAACTGCAGCTCCTCGTACAAGTCGGTCAAATGTGATGAAATGTCGCATAGGCTCAAAGCCATGTGAAGATGGCAAAGACTGTGTTTTATATAGTCACGTGTGTGATGGAGAGGACGACTGTGCGGATGGATCAGATGAACTGGGCTGCGGTGAGTTTCCTAAAACAAAATCAACCGTTTTTTGATTAGCGATGTGATGTTTTGGTGTACGTTTAGTTTTTGGCTTTGTAATGCATTTTATTATTAGTGTGAATGCTTGAAAAGCATTCACAGTATTGTTCTTTGAATCTTTATTATTATTTTTCCGTAAGTTTTTTGGACGCTAACTCCTTCAAAACTGTTCAACTTAGAAAAACCATTCAAACACCATTAGATTCCTCTTCTTTTGGAAAAGTGTGCTTCTATTTTTCTCATTTTTAACATTTATATTTTTAA